TTTGTACACCTCGAACTTCTTCGAGCTGATGAATCGCTTGAACAACGGTAAGATGCCAGTTTCGTAAAATTCTCAAAGTTAAAAACCGGTCATCCCGTAGTTCTGTTAACCTAGGCCGTCCAGAACCGGGCCTTCTATTGTAGGAACCAGTTTCCCGAAAACGCCTGACGGCCTCTCGTAAAGTTTCATGTGGAACTCCGATGGCATTAGCTGCATATCTAATGGAACGCCCATCATCAATAAGTGCCACACCACGCGCAACATCCTTAGCACTAAGAGGCATTTTTATACTTAATATCGAAAAAATTAAAAGCCGGAGACTAAGAAATGTGCTGCAAGAAACGGCACTGAACTAATGATACTGAATAAACATTTTGATTCCACAGAAATTAGTGTGGCAAAATGTATTATTTCTCAATAAACAGATACAAAAAAAAAGAAAAAAAAAAAGTAAACATTGGAATCTAGAATCATTTCATTGAATTAAGGATTAAGGATTAATGGTTATTGTCATTCCTAATTGAAAACAAACAAAATGATTACCTATTTATTCATTAAAAACAATAGACCAATCCAAAGCAGAAATATTTTTAGATGAAAACATGAAAAAATCAAGTGGGTGGAATTTTTTGCCTGTCAGTGTATTATAAGTATACCTTCTGACTTGTATTTCCGGAGATTCATTTTTGACCTGTATAAGCATTTTTATCTTTTTATCCTTTATTCGATTATCAAATTCTTTCAAAAATTATATTTAGCATTTTTTCGTAACTTTTAATAATTAGAGATAGATGATTATTTAAGATAAACCATATTAAAGGTACTTTAGGTGAAAACGCATATGAACATCGAGCATTTAAGCACTGTAAAGTTACATCAACGGTTATAAGACCTAAATGATATTAAAGACCACTCAATTATACAATGGTACATCGAGTTTAATCAAAATCGTTAGAGTCGTTTTTCAGAAAAATGTAAAAAGGTGTTTCAGTGCTAATATAAGTGGCACGAATCGGCTTAAGGAAAAAGTTGTCAAGACATCTAAGGCATATGTCTATCTTAAATATGTAATATCAGTTTCATGCAACTTTTCGGTTTCGAGCTAGAGTGTTCGCATACACACAGAGCATTTTTCGGGACTTGGTTGATTGGACTCAGGAGACCTCAAAACGTGTTTATTCGTTGAAAACTCAGATTAAAAAATGTTCACGATCGCAGTACTTACACTTAATATATATTATATATATAGGTAAGTGAAAGTAAAAATAAATAAATAAGTAAATAAAATTAGAAGAATAAAAATAGAGACTTACAGGTGTGTTCCTGAAGGAGTTTCACATAGAACTGCAAAACCTAGGTAAGAATCCTTGGGGAAATTTACTGACCTGGTTGGTGAATGGTGAGGGGGTAAGTAGTAAAAGTAAAACAAAACCTGTAATATTGCAGTATCTAAAATTTGAAGATGTGGATGGATACAAAGGAAAATACTATATCTATGAACTAAAAAAATATAAATATATACATATTCTTATAAAATAGCATTAAGAAATTATAGAAAGAAGCACAATGTGAATAAAAACAAAAATTAAAGAAGCGAAACGTACATAGAAGTGAAATGTAAATATAAAAATAAGAGACCATACATTGCAGAACTAATTTAGGAGTATAGAGACGAAACAAATATGAATAATTATAATTATACTTGGTTGTATATATCTAAAAAATTACCTTTAAATATTAGATAATATTGAGACATAATGGTTAAAAAGTACAATGAATAAAAAGTAAAAACTCTGTTCTTTAAATGCTTCTTTAAGTCTTCCCCTTGAGGCATATATAACTTATTTTTATTACAAACGTTCCGCATAACAAGCTGCATAATTCGTTATGATAGATTCAGAAATTTATTTGTGAATAACTCTAAATGAATGTTTGATGAATTTATATTTTAGGAGAGCTCAATTTATGTTTAAAATTTAGCTGTGCTACAAGTACAATATTGTAATGAGACCTTTTTCAAAAACAAGGAAAACCTTCCAACAGTCTGACATTCTACAGACCAATTAGCCTACTTCCAATTCTTTCAAAAGTCTTTGAAAATATCGATTTGAAACGAATCATACCCTGTACAACCAACCACTATCTGCTTTCCTTTCTTTATCCTCTGGAGTTGCCCAGGGTTCAAGCATATCTCCTCTCCTTTTCAGCTCCTACATTAACGACCTACCTAAATCAATTCTCCATTGTTCCCATCACCTTTATGCAGATGATTCCCAGATCTACCTATCCTTTTCTCCCTCTGAGTTACTGGGGGCATTTGCCAAGATCGAATCAATGCCTGGGCAAATGTAAATGGATTAAAGTTAAATGCTGCCAAAACTCAGGCTATTGTCATTAGTTCCAAGCCCCTTATTAGATCCCATACTGACTTTCCCATATTACACCTTAATGACCAGCCAATTTCCTTCTACTCCTCTGTTAAAAATTTAGGATTTTTCATAGATCAAACCCTCTCCTGGACCTACCATATTTCTCACATTTCCCGTCGGACAATTTCTACCCTTAAACTATTTCATCGCTTCCACCATCTCCTACCTCAACATATCCGTAGACTCCTAATTTCCTCTCTCATCTTCCCCCACTTTGACTACAACTGTGTGGTGGATGATGGCCTCTCGGTGGAACTCCGTGATAGACTGAAAAGATTAATGAATAGCTGCGTAAGATTTGTTATTGGTGCCCCGAGGTACTCCCATGTCTCTCACCACTACACTGAGTTAAGGTGGCTCTTCCCCTCCTTCCGAAGACAATATTTTCTAGGTACGTTCCTCTACCAAATCATCAACAACCATCGTCCTTCTTACGCCTACAACCTTCTCCAGTTCAAATCCTCAGTCCTTTCCCTGCCACAAGATCTCGACCTTCTGACCTTTACATGCCCTCTCACAGATCTGCCTCATTCCAAAATTCCTTTATTGTTCGCTCTGTCAATTTCTGGAATTCCCTCCCTATCAAAATTCGACATTCCTCCTCCATATCCACATTCAAATCCCTCCTATTCCAATTCCTATCACAAAAACAGTCAGATACTTGCTAACCATTCGAGCGGTTTTAATAGAGAATTTGACACATTTTTATTTTTTAATTCTTTATTTTTTTCGGAAAAGTGTATACTGGTCTATAAGAGCAAATAGCTTTAAGTTTTGTCTTAGTATTAATGGTTTTGTATATAGTTTAGTTTGTTTTGTATATAGAATTTTTACCTTATATTTTTTTTACATTATTTCTTTTTTTTGATTGATTTATTTTGGCCAGATGTAATATTTTAATTTTGTTCTATTTTGTTATTCTCAAGGGACTGTGTCCCAGAATAAAGTTATTTTTCTATTTCTATTTCTATTTCTATATAATCCCAAAATATTCCTTCTCATCGGTTAGGTTTTCACTTATTAATACTCTACTGTTCAACAAGACATTTTATTAAATAAGCAAATGGAAGTTTGGTAATTGCCAGATTCTCCAGTTAAGTCTCGTTAAAAGGGCTCTGCTCAGCCTCCATTAATGATGCTGAGGGAGAAGCGCTGGGATCTCCTAGGTTCCTGCCTTTCTTTCCAAAAGTGGGCGGAAAGGCTCTGAGTTTCCCTGAGAGATTGAATTTATAACTATTGTATAAAGTTATGTTTGTATTTAAGTTTTTATTTTGATTAGTTTAGTTTTATTATTTGTTTGTTTGTATGCAATTATGTTTAGTTATTCTATGCTTTTGCTGTTTAATTTACTTTTATTTATTTCATATGAGTGTGAACGTGATCTCTGAAAAATACTATATTGTAAATGTACTTTGAGACAGATTGTAATATTTATGAAAAAAACAAGTTCTAAAAAAAAACCTGTCAAACCAAAAAGACTTGACCTACCTTATTAAATAGCGAAGCCATTTTAGAAAGTACGAAAAACGCTATCAATTATATGTGTTTAGATATAGAGATTGTAATATATTGTATGACCAAAAAAGGGATAAAATAAAAATACAATTAAACAATTTTTAATAAATATAATTTTCCACAGGAATTTTTATTTGTTGGGCGCCTGGCTTTACTAGCCTTTCATCTCTAAAGAGATAATTATAGAGAATATAAGTTACTTACCCATGATTTGGCCATGATAAATCATTTATTCTACCATGCTAGCTCAGGTGAGAAGGGGTTAGGTTGGATATTTTTTATAAAGCAGCAAAGAAGGTTAACAGATCTATTCACAAAAAGAAATATTTACAGAATTAATACTATGTACAATAAAAAGAAATAAAATACAAGGAAAAAGAGGGAATTCAAACATAATTACTATATACAATTAAAGATAAAACGGAAGATATTTAAGATAATAAAGATAATACAAATAACAAAAAAAGATACTTATTTTATATGCAATATTATGGCATGCCACATCTAGAAAAGATAGTCAAGATACAATAAGATGTAAGAGTACATGCACATGCTAAAATATCAACTAGTCATCTCTCCAGGAAACAAAAGAGAGTAGAGTTAGTTTTGTTGCCAGTGCTTTATTAATCTTGGTTACAATTGTATATATACTTTAAAAAAACAAATTTATAGCAAAAGGATGTCAATTTCCAATTTTAAAAGAAAAAATTATATATATTCTTTAATTATACAAATTTTTTAAATTAATAAAGAAAATATGTACAAATGAAAATAGTGTAATATTATTCGTTTTATGAAATAAATTAATTATATAATAAATAAATAATAATAAAATTGAATTTCAGATAAAAAATTAATTTATACCTGAGCTCTAAATTATTAACAATCAGCTAACATGGTAAATTGTAATGTGGTAAAATCTTTTCTTCTTTGTTTAGCTAAACCTCTAACGAAAATATTATGCAATTTCCGGATCCACTAGTAACAAATAAGCTATTAAGCTTTTGTATTTTGAATATATTTTATAATAATGAAGTACTGTGTTATGCACTGACAATGAATGAACGATTCACATCCTCACCATTGTGCCAAATATACGTATATATAGTTGGATCCAAAGCTTGTTCAGTCAGTATTCATCATCTACTGGCATTAAGACATATCGACAACACAGGTTCTTGCAAACATGCAGTGTTCATACTTGATTTTCCTTGCTGTAGTATGCACAGCACATTCTGTAAGTTTTTAATATTTAAATATTAAATTGACATTTAAAATTATAAATATGTTTGTATTCAACCAATTTATATTTCTATCTAATATGACGCTACAATCGGCAATCACTCCTGTTTTTCGCTCTCACCATTCAATTTATTACTTCAACTTTGAAGTGAACAACATCGTTGTGTTCTCAGGTTAGGTCCATGCAAAAGCTTTTTTTTCGGAATCACATCGTCACTGTTTTTATCTGCGTTGCTAATTCCTATTTACCAAATACTGAACCATAAATTATTTCTACTGCCTTGCGTTCCCTTGAGGCTCTGCTCCAAAGTCTTAGTTGCACAGGTATGAGATCCGTAAGTAATTACCAGTCAGAAGAGCATGGTTTCAATAAGTAGTTTCAAGTGCTGACTTAATCCAAAATTCATGATTGCCGGTGTCAACCAGAATCCACTTCCTTATTTATAAATTTCGAATTGAAATTTCCTGACAATATTCTATAGTATCTTTGGTTAGTATATTTGTCATTAAATTTATATTTATTTAACAATCACACCTATCTTCGCTGCAGTCTTCAGTTCCAGAAGATATTGTCTGATAAAGCTAGAAGCTGCACCATCCTCTTAACTATTGCGTCAGACTTTTTAATGTGAATGTCACGGACTGATTTTTCCAGAGCAAGAAGAAAAGAAGCATCACTCCTCACATTGATGTAAATTCTTCCTATCTGTGTCCCATTCATGGTTCATCTTCTTAACATAATAAACTCAGTTCAGATTCAATGTTGTCGTAGGACATTTTTGACATAGACTTGATGTGTTTTGATATCGTATCTGTGACCTCGTTCCAGAATAGTCCTCGAGCAGAAGATCTGTTGTATCGTTGATCTCTCGTTTTAATATCCACAATGGTAGTGTCTCAGTTTTAGTTCCATAAACGATAAAAGTCTATGAAACTGAATGTTGGATAGGAGAAGCTAAGAAAGCAGAGCAATAACACCATAATATTTAAAGCACTTCAGGATGTCGCCCTTTTGATATGTTAGAGGTGTAATGGTTAGAGAAAAAGAAAAATAAGGAACCAAAAAAACAAAACATACGTATCATAATGTACAAAAATATGATAATAATTTAATATATGAAGAAATCATTTGTTTGTTGTAAATTATTTATTAGAATTGAATAAATAAATAAGAAACTTATTTTATAAAATCATAATATAATTAATAAACGAGTAATGTTTTACAAGTAGACTTCATCGCATCAAATGATTAAACGTTATAATATGGATGATAGAGTTTCTTATTTACAAGACTTTATATTAATGAAATCAAATCTGTAGAATTAATGAGGTTTTTTAAAAACATCACTCGTTTGTTGATTAAATATAATATAGTTGTATTGATTTTTACTTCCAGGTTTTGACAATGTCATTAAAGGAGATCAATGATGCTTGTAAGAAAGAGCATAACTTTGATGGCGATTTAGATAAAATTAGTAAGATATATTTCTTCTTTTTTTTTATAAATTCAAATTGATATTCAATCCAAGTTTTTCAGTCTAATATTCATTTTACTTTTCAGATTATAACGATCCTGCATTCCCAAAAGAAGCTAAGGTATTTGCGTTAAAATATATTTTCATATTAAGGTTTTGATTTGATCTTCATCCTGGTTTACGATATTCACATTTCTCGAACAGGAATATGTGATAATTCCTCATTTTTCCTAATCATTTCAAACATGATTTCTTTGTTTTACGATGAATCTTCCTTAGGTTATTATACTAAATAAGAGATCAGATTTTTGTAAATGAATAAGGATTCATAAAATTCATTAGCTACTTAAATATTGTGGCATGATATGCTTAATACACAAAAAATTAGATTAAAAAGATCACCACTCTTCGCAATAGTACATAGTTGAGAGTACTGTTTTTATTAAGAGAACTTTGGATCATAATCTATCCATCCTGCTCTGAAGTATTACTACTAAATCACTTTCCCTCACACTGTCAAAGGAATGCTAAAAGTAACCGAATGTTGAAAAGCATATTCACATGCGATTTCCTTCTTTACAAATACGTTTATCTACGAGTGATTTAGTGTAGGATTAGATTGAATCGGAGCTCACACTGATAGCTAGAAATTATAACATAAAAAAACTATAACAACAGAGAGGCATGATGAAATGGAGTTTTTATTTTCATATAATCTCTCAAAAAACTTAATGTTTCAACTGTGTTATTTAAAGGTATACTCCTCACCAATTTCTATAAATTCATTGTAAAAAGGATATTTGATCATTATTATTCTTTAATATTGTTTCAAAACTAATTGCTGGACGATTTCTAAATTAGGACCGGTAAAATTAGCTGAAGATTTGAAAAGTTGATAGATAAATTAATAAATTAAATTACTTTATAAATTTCGGAGTTGGTATAAATTTTTTTAGTCTGCCATCCCAATTTTTAAACAATGTCCCAACTGTCTTTATAACATTTCCTATTTAGTAATTTGTGGAGTCAGTAGACTGTTCCAGACTTTTATCAAGAATATCCCAGAAAAATTATAAAAATTATTTCTCTAATTCGTTTAATTATTATTACACTGAACTGTGTATTGGAATCTTTAAAAATTTATAATTTTATTTCTATTGGCAAAAGAATTTTAAATTCAAATTATAATCGATCCTTCCAAATTACAGTGTACATTGGCCTGTTCACTCGAGAAAAAAGGTATGGTAAGTATTATTTTCTCACAACATCATTACATTAAATCAATGTTACTCAACCACAAATATATAATAAACTATTATTTAGCTGAAAGCAGATGGATCCTTTGACAAAGAAAAGGATAAGGAGGCTGTTGAAGAAATGGTAAAAGATGAAGAGCTCAAAGCAAAGTTGTTGGCAGCGATTGAAGAATGCGATGTTACAGGTATGTTTTATATATATGTCGTTTATGTTCATGATATGAAGCTAACTTTTTCTGAAATATATATTAATAATATTTCAGCGAAAGCAGATAAATGTGAAGCGGCTTACGAGTTTGTAAAATGCAAGAAAGCGAAGGTAAGGCGACCTTAAAATACTTTATTGCTTAAATAATTGTTGTAGGTTATCTTTTTACCAGTAAATTACCTTGATTAACATGCATTTTTTTTAATATATATGTATGTGTGTTAAATTAAATTGTGTATCAAACAACTTTAATATAATATCTTAATAGAATAATTTAATGTCAGCTGAAATAGATCTAGTTTTTGAATGATGAATGTGAAAAGTTCAGAATCCACATTTCCAATCAACAAAGACAAAGACATTTCCAATCCCTCGTTTCAATCTATCAGTCTCTGTGAAATATGTTTCAAAGTTTGAGAAAAATTAAAATACAAACCATTGGTTGTTACACTGACGGAGAGAAGAGAGAGAAACACTTTATTTTCATAAAATATAAAATATAAAGGATTGCTGCCCAATTATATTGGGTTGCTATGTAATAATAATTCCCAACTATCAATTTGGATTTCGTATATCATATTCAACAGCATACTAATTACACAAAGTTACGAACTAGGATATTTTTTTATCAATTTTGTATAGTTTTACAATTTTCTCGATAACAGCTTCGATGAAATTAATTTAATTCTGTGTATAATATCTTCAGCCCCAATAACATATTTAGATAATTAACTGCATGTCATTTAGTAATTGATTACCAAGGCGACGACCTTAGAATGATTAGTTTTTAATCGCGGATTCGATACCCACATGGGTTAGTTAATTTTTGATTTCTCGGTGGCCTTGAGGAAACTTTTCTCTAACACTCTGGTAGAAATGGGGCAACACTCTTTATGTATGAGAAAGTGGCAATATGAGCTACAAGGCATATTTTACAGACAAGTTTTCCACAAAAGTACAAGTACCAGAGATTGCATGTAAAAGTTATGTGCTATGCTACAATGTTTTTCATTATGAATTAAATTCAATCCTAATGCATATTGTATTCAATTCTTATATCTTATAGTTATTATTTGTTTTAATTATTCATTTTATATGATTTTTTCTCTATAGTGGATAGGGTTGTATAATTTAGGCTTAATTATACAATATTATTGTGATTGTGAAAAAAAAACTTTATATTTGTTGCAGGCTGGATCACATTGAATATGAGGAAGGAAGGCTCAAATATTAAATTAGATTATTCCCACTTATATGTAGTCAAATATATAAATATAAATATATATCTCATGTATATAAGTATATCGCATATACATTGTTTTTAAATCTTTAACAATAAATATTATCTTCAAATATTTTACTTGTCAATATATCCTTTAATCTTACTAACTATTTTCGGAATACTATTTTCTTGATATTATAGGTACCTAGAGCTACTTATGGTTGTGGTAAATAACCGACTGATCAATAATAAGAGAATGAGAATGTGTTTGTGTGTAAGAGAAAGTGAGAGAATTTTAAAAATCCTAATTAATGGAATATATTTCATTTCTATACATGCACTTAATTAGAAAAATTACATATTCTATTTTACTACTATATATCTCTAGTGCTTTGTTAAAAATTCACGCATATTAAAGCCACTGTAATTGAATCACTTGTGGAATCTTATAGCTGCTGTAATCGCGAAACCTGATATTAATTTTCATAATAGTATATCATTCCAGTAAATTTTTCATATTTATAAAAAAAAAAAGTCTGTTTTTACTACTTAAAAGTTGTATTTTGAATGTTTTAATATATCCAGAAAAAATAATTTTGGTGTTTTTGTTCTTAAAGTTCTTAAAAGAAATTTTTTATATATTATTAATTAAAATTCGTTAAATATTTTCGTTAATAAAGTTTGTACTGACTTAACAGAATCAAATTTTAAAGTTCAAAGCCTATATATCCTATTTTTGTAATAAACGTTCCGCTTAACAAGCTGCATAAATCGTTATGATGAATTCAGAAATTTATTTGCCAATAACTCAAAAAGTACACGAAGTTTGATGAATTTATATTTCAGGAGAGCTCAATTGTGACTAATTTATGTTTAAATTTAGCTATGATATATGTAAAATATTGTAATGAATCAATTTTTACCGACCGAAGGAGCAAAGTGGTTTAGAATATCTTTTAACCGAAAAACAACATTGAGATTGGCATTTTGTCCCAGGAAAAACTCTCAAATATGAATTTTCAAGTTATTGAAAAATGCGAGTTTTTGCCTCAAAATTTCGTTGAGTAAGCGTTTAGAGGATAGCAAGTTTAAATATTTTTATGAAAAAAGTTACCATTTACATTTTTATACAAATGGTACTGCACTGTTTTATTTTGTTAGTACATATAAAAGTGAATATACGAATATATATATATATATATATATATATATATATATATATATATATATACGAGTAGAAAAAATGTCGAAAACGCGTAAATTCATCTATGTTTTCCTTAAATATTTAGTAATGACTATGGTTGAATTTCGACCACTGAGCGAACAATAATATTAAATATTGTGTGTAATATCAATTAAATAAACAAAAAACTCTAAAATAAACATGAATGGAACATATCAAACAAGAATGCCAACTTTCCAACATTTCGCCAATTCAGGTTATTTTGCCAGAAAAAACAAGATCAAAAATACGCAGATAGAAAAAAAAAAATTGCTATTGACATCTCATTAAGACTTCCAAAAAAAACATAACGAAAAAGCAGAAGAGGAATGTTATATAAAAAAGATGATTAGCAGGTATTCAGAGTAAAATTAAATGAATACTTATACTTGAAATTCAACAAAACATAAATGTTTTCATAAAATAAATAAAGAAGGGACAACAAATTAATAAATACAAGCAAAAAATCTCTAAACAGTGAAAAATACACATACATCACACAAATTAGTGCATACTCGGCTACACATTAAAATACAATATTTAATATAATAACATATTCGATCGTACCTCGAGTTCTCCCACTTTGGATTTCAGCGTTTTATTTTCAGTAGTCAATTCCTCCAGATCTTTAGCTTGGCTCTCTAGATGATTTTCTATTTTTGAAAATCTTTCATTTAACTCAAAGCTGAGCTCACCGTATTTTTCTAACGACGACTTATGATTTTTAATGTGTTCATTTTTTATTTTTTTTAAATTTTATTATTATTTTTTTATATATACATTTTTTTGCTGTTAATACATTTAGTTTATTAAATAATATTTGATCGTTACATTTTAATGTGCATAATTAATTTTAGGCAATACTTTTATTCATGTAAAAAACATATATCAACTTTAAACAAACAATAATGAAATAATAAAAATAAAAATAAAAAAAATAAAATAATAATAAAAATATATAATAAAAATAATAATATATAAAATAAAAAAAAATAAAACTAAGATGAAAAAATTAATTTCAATGAGCGACGTTCAGAATGTCATCTATTTTTAGAATACTGCTGACGGTTTCCGTCGCTAACGTGATTGCACTTGCTGTGACCAGCATAGGCTGTAGTACATTTTCTTCAAGAATATCTGTTACCTGGCCCTTCCTAACATTAATACCAGCACTAGTTTGGCCATGAACGTTCTTATTCCACAGTTCCGTAACAGTAGCTACAGGATTGAGACCAGCATTCTCAGCAAGGGCATAAGGAACAATTTCCAAAGCTTTGGCGTACTCCCTCAAACAATAAGCTTCTTCCGATCCCAAAAGCTGAGCATGCTGTCCCAAACGAAGAGACAACTCAATCTTAGGAGCTCCACCTCCAGGAAGAAGAGCTCTTTCCCTGATAAGACATCGGATGACGCAAAGAGCATCGTGAATAGAACGATCAGCTTCTTCGAGGACAAGATTATTAGATCCTCGGAATAGGATTGTTACTGTCTTCGCAGGATTGTGAATTCCGGTTACTTTGACGATACGAGAAGATCCTGCCGATGCTTCCACTGCTAGCTCAGCACCGACCAGAGCCTCGCTGGTAAAGTGATCCAAAGACGGAATGGGTCGGCAGCCGAGAGTCTTGCAGACGAAATCGATATCTTTCCTCTCAATATCCTTCACGACCATAATTTTCAACTTGACAAAGAAGTGAATAGCCAAATCCGACAAGGCGTCCCTTAAAACAGATTTCTGAGTCAATAACATAGTACATACGGCCTTCTTGATTTGCTTCGCAATGCTGAGTATGTAGGCTCTTTCCTCTTTTAGAATCCTATCCATTGCTGCATAGTCGGAGATAAGTACATTGTGATCCATATCTTCTGGGGGAGAAATACAAAACTGAATGAGACCAATTTTGGCTTTCTCAAGACGCCTTGGTCCGATAACATTTGCTGACTTCTGGGTGAAGACTAAGCCCACAATGAGTTCTGTATCTTCTACGGTGCCTCCAAGTTTCATAATGATCTTGATATCTTTTAGGTCAACATTTTTGGCTTTCTTTGGGTTGGTAGTTCTAAGGACAGCAACATTTATTTAACTTTAGTAAATTTCTTTTGTATATATATATATATATATATATATATATATATATATATATAAAAGAAAATAATTTAGAGATATTGTTGACTATATTAAATATAGCCTGAGATATACCTCTCCACGCTCAACAGTCTGAAAAGGCATAAAAACGACAAAAACTAATGGAAAAGTTTAGTTTAGACAAGATAATTAAAACAACTGAATCTTTTATAGCATATCAGATGTTCTTAATTGATATAGATTAAAAGTATGATGATAAGAACAACCGTTATTATTAAAGGAGATGGTCCGGGGTTGCGGTCATAATATGGAGTTCTAAGTGAAACTCCTAGATGAACACACCTTCCTGATGAAGACCTGCAAAGTCGGGACGAAACGTTGGCTTTCAATAGTTTTACCACTATTTAGCCTATTTATGACCGCAACTCCGGACCATCTCCTTCCTTTATAATGCAGCGGTCAACTATTAAATATTCAACCGTTATTATTATTGTTCATTTTTTCCCAATAAACAAAATATCTATACATGCTATTATGGTGTATATTGTATAGTGTTATATATCGAATCAATTATTATTATTATAATATATCAATTATTATAACTAAGTATTAAGTACCTATATAAAATGCCTAGATATACTAAAAAAATTTGTGATAAGAGACGGTGAGAAAATCGGTAAACAAGTAAATGAAAAGTATGGTAGGTATCAAAGTATTGGGATCTGAAGGATTATAATTCTTGCTTTAATAGTTTACAATTATAATTGTAGGAGCGGCGATCGATGGGGTGTTTGGTACGTTGCCATAATAATCTGGCACTGTGTTTTGTGTGGATTAGGTCTATGAGGTGTTGGAGTAAACTATTTTACTTATGGGTTCATGAGGAATGATTTGTCCATACTTTCGACTGAATGGTGGAGGTGAAGAAATGTACGGGTTTGCCAAGGTCTTAAGATTAAAACGATTCTCTCCCTTTCTAAGACATTCACACATACACTTTCTCATCCTCGTAATAATCTCATGATTAGTCAGTTACCTATCATAATCATAACTAAGTTCCTACCGATTATATCAAGAAAATTGTAAGATTAAAGGATTTATTGACAACTACAATATTTTCTACATAAAGTTAATATTTATTGTTAAAGATTTAAAAACAATGTGATATATTAATATACATGATAATTATGTTTATTTATATATTCGACTACATGTAATTGGGAATAACCTAATAAAATAAATGAGGTTTCATATTCAATGCGGCCCAGCCTGCAACAAATATAAATTATATAATTTATTTAAGAGTAAGGTATATAATCCTAACCTCACTAGAGATATAAGATGAAATGATCATTGAAAATGGAGAATTAAAACAAATAATAATAATAAAATATGATAATTTATTTATATACATGTATATATGTATTGAATCCACGATTCGGAACAAGGAACTCTATGGCCGTCGCGTTTATCATCTATTACTAAATTTCATCCAGTTAATTATTTAAATATGCTATTGATGCTCAAGTTTTTATTTTCCGAATTAAATTAAATTCGTCACAGCAATTTCCGTGAAAGTTACAAAAATTGTAAAAAATTTATGAAAAAAAGTGAAAAAAGTAGTTGATTTTCACGAAAATGTTGCCGTAGCATCACATCCATTAATGTGAAAATAAGTAGATTTGTTTTTTCGTTAGAAAATTAGGTACGAGGGAGAATATAGGTAATAAACCAGAAGTACCACTTCCCTGATCTATGTTTACTTTTTTTAAATCAGAAAATCTTTCAACCAGCTCCTTTTCAGTCTTCTCCTGATGAGCAATTCAGCTGTTGTCAGTCGTTTAGAGGTCTGTGGTCGTGTCCGTGTAGTTTAATATGAAATGTAATTAGCAATGACATTTACACCAGCAATGTTGTTAGTAAGGGTGTAATTAGTATTTTGTTGAATGTAATAAACGAAAACTAATTGATGGTCGGGAATTTTTTTTTTTATTCGTTAGTGTACCAACCAATCATTTGTATATTAATTTTTCGATAACTTCGAAGCATATTGCACAGAGACTGATAGATCGGAACGAGGGATTGAAAATGTCTTTGTCAGCAGACATTAAATTATTCTATTAAGGTATTAATTATATTAAAGTTGTTTGATACACATTTTAATTTAACACACATACATATATATGACAAAAATTTACGTTATTCAGGTAATTTTTTGATAAAAAGATAACCTACAACAATTATTTAAGCAATAAAATTTAAGACCGCCTTACCTTCGCTTTCTTGCATTTTACAAACTCGTAAGCCGCTTCACATTTATCTGCTTTCGCTGAAATATTATTAATATATATATTAAAATAATATTTCTGATATTTCAGAAAAAGTTGACTTCATATCATGAACATAAACGACATGTATATAAAACATACCTGTAACATCGCATTCATCAATCGCTGCCATCAACTTTGCTTTTAGCACTTCATCTTTCACCATTTCTTCAACAGCCTCTTTATCCTTTTCTTTATCGAAGGATCCATCTGCTTTCATCTAAATAATAGGTTATTATATATTTGTGGTTAAGTAACATTGATTTAATGTAATGATGTTGTGAGAAAATAATACTTACCACACCCTTTTTCTCAAATGAACAGGCCAATGTACACTGTAATTTGGAAGAATTAATTATAATTTGAACTTAAAATTCTTTTATCAATAGAAATAAAATTATAAATTTTTAAACATTCCAATACACAGTTCAGTGTAATAATAATTAAACGAATTAGAGAAATAATTTTTACAAATTTTCTGAGATATCTTGATAATATTCTGGGACAGTCTACTGACTTAACATATTACTAAATAGAAAATGTTGTAAATGCGGTTGGGACGTTTTTAAAAGTTGCTATGGGGGACAAACAAAATTTCAGCCAACCCCGAAATTTACAGACTAATTTAATTTAATTATCAATTTTTAGAATCTTTAATTAATTTTACCGGTTCTAATTTAGAAATCGTTCAGTAATTAATTTTGAAACAATATTAAAGAATAATAATGATCGAATATCCTTTTTATTTGTACAATGAATTTATAGAAGTTGTAGAGGAGCATACATTTTAATAACACAGTTGAAAAATTACGTATTTTGAGAGATTAATAACATAAAAATAAAGCCTGATATAAAAAAAAAATGGTCATCTCGCTATCCAAATCTTCATTCCACCTTGCCTGTCTGTTTTGTTATTATTATTATGTTATAATTTTTCGATATCAGTATAAGCTTCGATTCAATCTAATCCTACACTAAATGACTCGTAGATGAACTTATTGGTAAAGAAGGAAATCGCATGTGAATATGCTTTTCAACATTCGGTTACTTTTAGCACTCCATTGCCAGTGTGAGGGCACGTAAGTGATATAGTAGAAATACTTCAGAGCAGGATGGATATATTATCATCCAAAGTTCTCTTAATAGAAACAATACTGGCAACTATGTACTATTGCTAGGATTGTTGATCTTTTTAATCTAATTTTTTGTGCATTAGGCGAATCATACCTTAATATTTAAGTAGCTTATGAATTTTATGAATCCTTATTCATTTAAAAAAATCTGATCTCTTATAATAACCTAAGGAAGATTCATCGTAAAATAAAGAAATCATGTTTGAAATGATTAGGAAAAATGAGGAATTATCACATATTCCTGTTCGAGAAATGTGAATATAGTAAACCAGGATGAAGAAGCGTTAGAAATAATCCAAATCAAAGCCTTAAGAAGAAAATAAATTTTAACGCAAATACCTTAGCTTCTTTTGGAAATTCAGGATCGTCGTAATCTGAAAAGTAAAATGAATATTAGACTAAAAAACTTGAATTAAATATTAATTTGAATGTATGAAAAAATATAAAAAAAGAAATATGTCTTACTAATTTTATCTAAATCGCCATCAAAGTTTATGCTCTTTCTTACAAGCATCACTGATCTCCTTTAATGACATTGACAAAACCTGGAAGTAAAAATCAATACAACTTTATTATATTTAATCACTAAACTATTAACGTTTTAAAAAAACCTCATTGATCCACAAATTTGATTTCATTAATATAAAGTCTTGTAAATAAGAAACTTTATATCATCCATATTATAACGTTTAATCATTTGATGCGATGAAGTCTACTTGTAAAACATTACTCTTTGGTTTTTTGGTTCCTTATTATTTTTTTTTTTTAACCATTACACCTCCAACATATGAAAAGGGCGACATAGTGAAGTGCTTCAAATATTATGGTGTTATTGCTCTGCTTTCTTAGCTTCTCCTATCCAGCATTCAGTCCCATAGACTTTTATCGTTTATGGAACTAAAACTGGAACATTACCAGTGTGGATATTAAAACAAGAGATCAACGATACAACAGATCTTCTGGTCGAGGACTATTCTGGAACAAGGTCACGGGTACGATATCGAAACACTTCACCTCTATGTTAAAATTGTCCTACGACAACACTGAACCTGAACTGAGTTTATTTTGTTGAGTAGATGAACCATGAAGGAGATTTGTGTTATGAAACAAGGTGGCACAGATCGTAAGAATTTACATCAAAGAGAGGGCTCATACTTCCTATCTTCTTGCTCTGGAAAAGGCAGTCTGTGACATTTACATTAAAAGGTCTGACACAATAAGTAAGATGATGGTGCAGCTTCTAGCTTTATCAGGCAATACCTTGTGGAACTGAGAGGCTGCAGCGAAGATAAGTTTGATTGTTAATGAAACCTAAATTAAATAATAAATATGGTAACCAATTGGATTATATAGCAGGATATTGTCAGGGAATTTCCATTCAGAATTTAGAAATAAGGAAGTGGATTCTGGTTGACACCGGCAATCATGAATTTTGGATTAATTCAGAACTTGAAACTACCTGTGTGTGATACCTGTGCAACTTAGACTTTGGCGCAGCGCCTCAAGGGAATGCAAGGCAGTAAAAATAAAGTATGGATCAGTGTTATTGGCAACGCAGATAAAAACAGTGACGGTGTGATCTAGAAAAAGCTCTCGACTTTGCATGAACCTAACCTCAGAACACAACGATGTTTTTAAATTCAAAGTTGAAGTGATGAATTGAATGGTGAGAGCGTAAAGAAGAATATTCGACTAAGATATAACTAATTAGAAGGCTGTAGTGTCATATTAGATAGAGATATATACTTTTGAATACAAATACATCTATAATCTTAAGTGCCAGTTTAATATTTAAATATTATAAACTTACAGAATGTGCTGTGCAAACTACAGCAAGGAAAATTAAGTATGAATACTGCATGTTTGCAAGAACCTGTGTTGTCGATACGTCTGAACTCCAGCAGAGAATGAATACTGAGTGAACAAGCTTTGGATCCAACTATATATACGTTTATTTGCCATAATGGTGAGGATGTGAATCGTTCATCCATTGTTAGAGCATAACCCCATACCTCATATAGCATAACCCCGTACCTCATTAGTATAAAACATATTCAAAATACAAAAAGCTTAATAGCTTATTTGTTACTAGTGGATCCGGAAATTGCATAATATTTTCGTTAGAGGTTTAGCTACACAAAAAAGAAAAGATATAAGAAAAAAAATTACAGAAGCTACCCCTGGTAAATCTTATTCTATCTGGCGCCTCAGAATCTGCGCTTATACATTAATAAGCATTATTTATTGTACCTAAGGAAAATACAACTACTTATTGTCTCTATGTACATGTAGGGTATTTTTAAACAATACTTAGGAAAAACATTATACCAGTGGTGAACTCTTTATGAGAACATACTTATGGTCTGCTAGATCAATCCAAGTTGTAGGTAACAAAAAAAATATAAAGCCAATCAAATTGTCATTTTGAACTTTTTACAGAAATCAGGTTGTTGCCTCGAAGTCTACTTCAAAGTACTCTTCGAGTAAAATTCAAAATTTAAGTACCATTTTCCTTTTTATGTATGTTTACTTCCAAACTACTCCCAAGGAAATCCCAGTCCACGCACCCTACAAGTGCCATTTATATACACGGTGGGCCAGACCCGTTTTTTTTTTAACATATAAATTATTGCATTAATATTTGTTCGTTAATAAAACCAATGTAATGTACCAAAAATGTTATTATATCACTATAACTAAGCCATATATGTGTACTGAATGGTGTGGTAGAGGGCTGTAGGCACCCACGCCAGTGCTTTTCTGCCGCATAAGTGTATTTTCTACGGAACTGCTTAAACTTAAAAAAAAAATAATCAACGTTTTTAAAAAGAAAAATATATTCTCCAGATGCTTTATTTCAGCACATTTTGCGTTATTGTAGACCGTTTAATTACAAACGACGCTTTATTTGTAACTTGAAAATTTCTTATTGTTTAATATTTCATCCTGTTTTATTATTCTATGACTATTCAGCTTTAATAAAAGACCAACTATGAGAAAATTAAGCCAAATGCTGATTCTCAGTGACCAAAAAACTAACTAAAGTCAAAGTCGTCAATCCGCCATCTTTGGACGCCATTTTGGGGCAGTGCGTTCAGTTTTTTTTTGTGGGAACATTGGCTTTTTCTTAATAAATAGTTACAAGGAACACAGCCATATGCAATTTATAGGGATGTTGGGGGGGGGGAGGTGCACGGTAAGGGGGTCTGGCCCACAGACTATTATACCATTAATTGATTTAACTAAACCTTCAAACAAACAATATTTCTTCTTTTCGTTTATATAAATATTCGTTTCTTAAATTATTACATTGTTTTCAAGATATTTTAGTCTATTGTCTCAATTTTCATCATCTTTTTTTTTTTTTTTAAATTCTTAATGTATTTCTTAAACAATGTATGTGATGTAACAATTAATTAGTGGGTACTAAATAAAAAACGCTGCAAATTATTTCACATTGGTTTATTATTTCCAACAACAGCTATACATCTAAAGTAACATTACCTTCCTAGTTACAAACAAAAATAAATAAAAGGTGATTCCAATTATTGGACTAAACTTTTTTTCATTAGTAATATGCTAAAAAAAATATCATTACTTCAGTAACACATTCAAAATTTAAAAACCAAATAAAGGATATAACATTTGGACTAGAACATATGAAAAAAACTAGAGATCGTATCTTTGCTCCTAATTGTCCGATTTTAACCTTTTTGTTTTTTAGGAAATTCCGTGAACTTAGAAGAAAGAAGAAAGAAAGAAACCATCCCCAAAAAAGTGTATACTTTTTGAGTTATTCGGAATTAAATTTTTCAATCCCTCGTAAATTTTTTCTAGCTTCTTTTCGTTGAAGTATGTTATATAGATAAATTTAAAGGTAGATAAATAGATAAATTTATGACTTTAGCGAAGATTCATTGAAATCGATGCATTCGTTTAGGAGCTACAGTCTTTAGCAACGCAGGTTTTTCGGCCGCCATTTTTAAAGTAAAAAGCGGATAATCGATATAGGAGGATCATCCTCGGGTGACTTCTGATTTTATATCCAAAATTGAAAAAAATCGGTCCAGTAGTTTCGGAGAAAATGCGCGGACGGCGGACGGACAGAAAAATTTGTATTCGTTTTTCGAATTCTACGCATCCTGAACCGTGAAACCTCGAATTTTGAGAGAGAGATACGTTTTGAATGTTTTGATCGATCACAATAATAAACCAAAATATATTAAACTTGAAATGAGAAACAATGTATTTTCCAAATTTAAATTACAACAAAATATGTCGAAATCTCTTTAACATTACATCATATCCTCGAACAATGGATAGGCAATGCTTAAACGAATTACTTCCGCATCACAGAAGTTTAAATATAAATAGGTCCAACTCTATGAAATTAGTAGGCATCCACTGTTTGAGTCAAAACACATCCACAATTTCAGTTCTCAACAATGTTATCTTTAAAATTCGTATTGGCATCAGTACTTCTGGCTACACATTGTGTAAGTATTGATTTCGATCAGCTCAACTTCAATCATTCAATATTTTATAAATTTGCATCATAATTTTTTCAATTAAAATTCACTTATATTGTTAAAAAAATCTGGTGTGTCCACTCACACTACTTTCCTACCTATTTCAGAAAAGTTTTTATATCATTACATATGTTCATGAAGAAACAAAAATGATTGAACTACATTTATTTTCCTGAAAAATGATCAAACAAAAGATTTGAGTACTACTTATTAGATAAACTAAGGCAATTAAAGGCTTAAGGTAGATCAGTGTAAAAAATTTATTACTCACTAATATTGCGGATCAAAAACTTCTCGATATAGCTTAGTATTGTCAAACAATAATTTCTGTTAAAAGTTGAGGAAATAGTGAAGATTGTGTGATGCGGGATACAGTAAACTCGTAATCATTCATTGGAAATTGAATAGCTGTAACTTTGTTAATAGTTGTCCAAAATGAACGATTTTTATATGGCTTTGTAGAGAATTTCATTACCTTTAACGGCGTGTTTTGTTTTGTTGGTAATTTAATTACCTTTCAAAAGTTTTATTACAAATTTAACCGTATAATATATACTTAAGGAGTTAGGACCCATGAAATTTTTCTTTTCTTTCTAACTTTTTTTTCTGGATTTTGTCGGGAATTTAGTCCATATACGAAAATTGAAAGGGCATTTAATGATTAGAAAATTACAGGAAAGTTTAATCAAAATCGCTATAGCCGTTTTTGCGCTACACTCTATAGAAACATGTGCTTTTCATTTATTACGCGCAACCTATTGCGAATGGAGTACCGAAGTTCTGTCACAGGCATCGGTAGTCAAAACCCTACAAAATAAAAAAAAAGCAACGAAATCGGTTCAGTAGTTCCCGAGAATATCTTGGCACAGACAGACAGACCAATGGCTAAAAATATGTTTTTCGGACTCAGAGGGCTGTGAAACGTATAGATCCGTCGAAAACCGCATGTCGGAAATTTGACCCGATTGCAATACTTTCCTTACCTAGTATAGGTAGGAAAGTAAAAAAGTATTGATTCTAAACTGTTATTGCTTATAATATAATAACTTTAACGACAATGATCTTCAACAAATCACTGATCAAGCATTTAATTGATTGATTGAACATGAAATAATAAGTAAATTAATAAAAAAGTATATTTAGAATCAAGTTAACTATTTATTTTAATTTGTAAATTAAATTTTTATAGGTCCTTTCGGATAAATATGAGGAGGCTAGGGTGGCATGCGAAAAAGAACATAAATTCAACGATATTAAAAATATGGGTCAGCTATTTGTTCCTTGTATTTTAAAAATTAAAATTTCTAGTTAAATTTATTTACAATTTTTTTTGTTGTTTCAGGATCAACTGGTGACGTACCAATGGAGGCGAAGGTAATTGTAATAATATCTTATTTAATAGGAACTTAATGAAATGAAATGAATAATTTCTTTATCATCCTGGGACACATTAAACTACATAGTGGCCAGGACAGTGTAGTCTGACTCATTGTCACAAATAAAATTTTAAAGAATGAAAGAAAAATAGCTAAATTAAAATAAATTTTTACATTAACTAAAATAACAAAACTGCTTTAACAGTAGTTAACAAAAATAAAATAAAGTAATCTAAATGAAAATGATAATAGTAGTAAGTAAGTGGAAACATAGTACCAAAATGAGGAAATAGGGAGAGGAAAATGTGGTTAAATAGAAGAGCTTCATACGAGGAAAGTTTTGAAGCATGGCGGATGATAGCTGAGATATAGTTCCAGAAAGAGGTTAAGCTCGGTTGATGAAGGATTTGTCAAACGCAAGAGTTCGGTGAGGAGGAAGGTAGAAGTCAGAATAGCCAGAACGGGTGGGACGGGCTTTTATGAATGATTTGATTTGCAGTCTCTGTAGTATGTAGGACGGGCTCCGAGTTCAGATTGCCCGATATAGGAAGGATACAAGGAAATACTGACACCTATGGGATGGTTAGAGCCACTTTAGCTTGACATAATACTGGGTTATTCGCGTATCTCTGAAAACAACAATCTAACTTAGCAGTTCACGACCCGTTTAAGTCTTGCTTCATTATCGCCAGAGAGTCAACCGAACACCAGACAGCCGTAATCAAAGTTGGATAACACTAGCGATGAAACCAGGAGTTGTGGGATTTTACGTGGGAGATTGATTCAGTTCGGCGAGAAATCTGAGAGATATGTTGTTTTCAAGAGAGAGTTTCGGGTGACTCCGATGTTCACGGAATCGAAGGCTTTGGAGAAGTCTACAATTCTGGATATAATTGCATAATTTTAAAAGACATTACTTTTTTTTAATAATTTTTAAATTACCCTCGAGGTATAATAAAACTGAATCTGTGATCTTTCCAGAGAAAACAATCAATTACTTTGAGAGTTTTTAATAAATAAATTATTTTTTATTTTTATTTACAAATAAAAGCCTTCATTTGTTTATTCTGCTTGTATTCCTGTTTTCTCATTTCCATTTTTTCTTCCTTTAACCCAATCCTTAAATGAAATTGT